GACTCGGTGCCAACGGTTGTCCGTCGATTTTCCACGAGTACTTGACTCGCGAGCTCGGCTGCGCTTCGCATCTCAGCCGTACAGGTGATCCCTCGACCACCGTGTGCTCGCCGGGACTCACGGAGAAATACAGATCGCCATCTTGGCCAAATACCGCCGGTACCACTGCGCAAAAAGAACATAGTCGATCAAATGTTACGCTGTTCCATGTAATTGGAGCAACAGTAATTAAAATTTATAATAGGAACGCATCTGGTGAATTGATAATGAATTCGTTATTTCGAGAGCCTTTTTACAACTAGATTACACAGATCTTTATGCAAATTTGTATTTTTGAAAATATAATTAAAAAGATAGGAAATTGTTTCGTGTAGGTAATATTGTATACATTTTAGTTATTTTATGATATTATACGTATCACGTGCATTCTGTACGCATTTGTAAAGCAGGCAAACACAAAAAAATTTTACAGCCGACTTGTAACGCGAATGTGACTACTTTTGTGCTCAAAATTTGCATTCATGCACCGTGTGTCGTTTCAGTTTCTTACAACCAGAGGAACTCTTAAATTTCAAGAGAACTCTTAGTAGCAGTAGATAAATTATAAATCCTCAGAGTCTCGAGATTATTGCTGCAAGTGATCAGTACTTCGGTGTTTGTCAAACCGAGGCAAGGTTGGAAGTGAAAATTCTCTGGCGTTGTCAATTTTCAAACGCATTTCTTATCCATCAAGCTAGGAAAATACAAACATATTATCCCATGGAAGAGGCACAAAAACTTGTCTTTTCACATATTTCACATCGTTTGTACGAACGAATTATGAGACATTGACTACGACGCTTCGTCGCTACATTTTCAAAGTAATTCTACCGAAAGATTGATTTTATTCGAGATAAAGACTAAAGAAAAATTCGAGCACCTTATCCGATCATCCGTTCAACGTTACTAGAAGAGAGAGAGAGAGAGAAATAAAATTCCTTTCCGTCCCAACGAATAACCCCTTTGACTTTGAACTACCGTTCGCGAATTCCACTAAAGTGAGTGGTCGTGTCGATTGATTTCATCTCTCGAAACTTTCGGTTCGACGCCCCGCGGATCGCTCAACGGCATGTCGTTATTAAAAATTCGCTAATTATCAGGGTGAAGCGGCAACAATCGAACGATAAACAGCGACGGGGGAACACTCTAAAACGGATCGTAACTTCGCTCTTTGAATGAGGCGGGAGACCTCATTAAGCTGATTGATAATTAGCACAGGGCAACGTTGTTATATCGATGTCCTTTGATTTCCGCGGAGCAGAGAGTCGCTTCTCGCTACACCGTTTAATACGATTTTTTTCCTTTCTTCTCTCTCTCTCTCTCTCTCT